ATATATATATAATTATATATAATTATATATAATTATATAATCAGTTATATTTGCTGTTATTACAACCACAAAAATTTAAATGATTTCTAAATTTATAATATTATATGTCATTTTTGTATTCATAAAAAGACATTTTAAGTCATATGTTTATCTCATAACAAAAAAAATTGCAAGCTAATAGAAGTATATATGAAAACCTCATGCTTCTTCCAGTGAGTTAATTTTTATCAGAACATTTAATTTTACATTATTTTCTCATTTTATAAGAAAATAAAGAATAAAAAATATATATAATAGAGGTATTCAAAGGTATTATTCAAGTATTATACTTATATATTAGTACTTATATACTCATTAGTACAATTATTATACTTATATATTAGTACTTATATACTAATTAGTACAAGTATAATTATATAATAGTGCAAGTATTGCTTATATATTACTACACGTATTTCTTATATATTAGAACTTATTTTACACTAATTTGTACAAGTATTATACTTATATATTAGTACTTATATACTGATTTGTACAAGCATTATACTTATAAATTATTTTATACTCATTTGCACAAGTATTATACGTATATATTATATTATACTATACTCATTTGTACAAGTATAATACTTATATATTAATACTTATATACTCTTAAGTACAATTATTATACTTATATATTGGTACTTATTTTAAACTCATTATAGTTCAAGTATTATTCTTATATATTACTTGTTTATTTGTACAATTATTATACTTATATATTAGTACTTATATACTCATAAGTATACTTATATAATGGTGCAAGTATTACTTATATATTAGTACTTATTTTAAACTCATTAGTACAATTATTATACTTGTATATTAGTACTTATATACTGATTTGTGCAAGTATTGTACTTATAAATTATATTATACTCATTTGTATTATACTTAATACTTATATACTCTTAAGTACAATTATTATACTTATATATTAGTACTTATTTTAAACTCATTAGTACAAGTATTATGCTTATATATTATTACTTGTTTATTTGTACAATTATTTTACTTATATATTAGTACTTATGTACTCATAAGTATACTTATATAATGGTGCAAGTATTACTTATATATTAGTACTTATTTTAAACTCATTAGTACAATTATTATACATGTATATTAGTACTTATATACTGATTTGTACAAGTATTATACTTATATATTATATTATACTCATTTGTACAAGTATTATACTTATATATTATATTATACTCATTTGTACAAGTATTATACTTATATATTAGTACTTATAAGCTCATTTGCAGAAGTATTATACTTATAAATTATATTATACTCATTTGTACAAGTACTCATTTGTAGCTAAGCTATTATACTTGTTTCTTTTATTCTTCTTTATATACATCTCTTTGCATTATAATTGTGTATGGATTGCCTTGCCTTTCTGTTTAACACCATATAGTGAAGTGTATTATATTTACTAATATTTTTTTTTCACCTGGTTGTTCAACAGACGAACACAGCTTCACAAATGCACTCTACTAGCGGGTTATGTTGCGACTAGAAAGCAACTGAGATATGGAGGAGGAGTTGCTTATTCCGGCTATTATACGTGACAAATGTTAATGTACGGCTGAACCGCACACTTTAACCCCTGCGGTGTCCCTGGGAGGAGCCCGTGACCCAAATGCGCTGTTGGAAAGCGGCAGATTTGAGAGTGATTTACTGTGAAAAGGTCACCATCTGCCCGCAGCGGATCCAGATCCCGGAGCCTCCTGCTCCCTTCTGAGGGCACTCATGCTGTATGGGCACAGAGCCCACCTCAGCGGCGCCCACTGCTGTTCCCGCAAAGTTCAGCTGATCAAACACACACACACAACAGAGTCTGGCTGCAGACACGATCTGCAGAAATGAGATCTGATGGTTTGGGCAGCCCTGGGCTACATTATAGCCTACACAGAGCAGGTTTGCGTTTTTTGGATGAATGATCTGTCTTGATGTGATGAAACATGTCCATACGCATCATTACAGATCGATATTGTTCATTTATTACTTTGTATTGTTATAAATAAACTAATAAATGTCTGTTTTATTGTCTCTGAAACATTTTATTGAGTAAAACTTTTACCAATCACCATTACCGCACTGCACTCTGGTGGTGAGGCTGAAGCATTGACTTTGTGTTTCACGAACACCCAATATATTTGGTCACACTTTACAATAAGGTTCATTAGTTAATGTTAATTAATGCATTTACTAACATGAACAAACAATGAACAACACATTTACTACAGTATTTCGTCATGTTAGTTAACGTTAGTTAATGTAAATACAGTAGTTCATTGTTAGTTCGTTAACTCATGGTGCATTAACTAACGTTAGCAAGCATGGACTTGGATGTTAATAATGCATTAGTAAATGTTCAATTGTGATTAATAAATGCTGTACATGTGTTGTTCATGATTAGTTCATGTTAGTAAATGCATTAACTAATGAACCTTATTGTAAAGTGTTACCCCAAAATTACTTTTACAGAATTTCAAAAAATAAGGTTTATATGGAGGTGATTATAGAAGCACGATTACATTTCCCCCCATTTTTTAATACGTTAATTAAAAATATATATAAAAATTTAATTATTTGTGTAAATTTAATTATGTTAAAGGTTTTATGAGGTTTTCCCATAGATGGGTTGCGAGTGGAAGGGCATCCACTGCGTAAAAACGTGCTGGATAAGTTGGCGGTTCATTCCACTGTGGCAACACCGGATTAATAAAGGGACTAAGCCGACAGGAGAATTAATGAATGAATATTTTATTAGGTTATAAGCAAAAAAATAAAAAATATAATAGATAAATAAAATTATATATATAAAAAACACTTTACTAGTACCAGGTTGGAGAACTGCCTTAATCCATTGTGGCTTAGATTCAACAAGCTACTGGAAATACTCCTCAGAGATCAAAGTTGCAGCAGATTTGTCCACATCCCAAAGGTGCTCTATTGGATTGAGATCCGGTGACTGTGGAGGCCATTTCAGTACAGTAAACTTGTTGTTCTGCTCACCAGTCTGAGATGATTGAGCTTTATGACATGTCGCAATATGACATCTATTGTCCAGTTTTGGTGAGTCTGTGTGAATTGTAGCCTCAGTTTCCTGTTCTTAGCTGACAGGAGCGGCACCCGGTGTGCTCTTCTGCTGCTGTAGCCCATCCGCCTCAAGGTTGGACGTGTTGTGTGTTCAGAGATGCTCTTCTGCAGAGCTCGGTTGTAACGAGTGCTTGTTTGAGTTACTGTTGCTGGAACCAGTCTGGCCATTCTCCTCTGGCCTCATCAACAAGGCATTTGCGTCCACAGAACTGCCGCTCACTGGATATTTCCTCTTTGTCGGAGCATTCTCTGTAAACCCTAGAGATGGTTGTGCGTGAAAATCCCAGTAGATCAGCAGTTTCTGAAATACTCAGAGCAGCCGGTCTGGCAGCAACAACCATGCCACGTTCAAAGTCTCTTAAATCCCCTTTATTTCCCATTCTGATGCTCACTTTGAACTGCAGCAGATCGTCTTGACAATGTCTGCATGCCTAAATACATTGAGCTGCTGCCATGTGATTGGCTGATTAGACATTAGCATTAACGAGGACAGGTGTACCTAATAAAGTGGCCGGTGAGTGTATATAAACGTTATACTAATATTAAATGCTGCATAAACATTTCATCAAAACTTCTTTTTAAAATACATTATCCACCAAACATATCGGACGAGTGATTATCACTGCATTACACGTTAAATATCAAGTCTTTTGTAAAGCAATTCTGACTTTACCTCCGTGAACATGTTCAGCACAGACGACAGGACAGTATCAGGGTTTCTGGTTTGTTTATTATGAATAATAACTGTGGTAAATCTGCGCACACTGTTTCTTGCATAACAAAGCAATGTAAATATAAAACAACGACGAGCCGATCTCGAACTTCCACAGACAGTAACTGATCCATTTAAGAAAAAAAATAAATTATCTGTCTTTCTCATAGATAAATAGCTAAGGGTTTCATATATAAAAGCATCTCTCAGACCTCTACAGAGCGTCTGCTACCTGTCTAAACGAGATAATATACATACAAAATATGTACAGGAACTCTCTCACACACACATAGACACATACACCACACAAACAACATATACACACATACTCCCCAACACACACACACACACACACACACACATACACAAATTCACTCTATTAGTGTCAGCATGTGTTTCTGCATGTACTGAACTGCTCTCTGCGTCCGCTGTGTGTGTGTGTGTGTCTAGTGGTTATACTGTAGCTATGAGCTGAAGCATGTCTGCTCTCAGACACAGTACGCTCTGACTGTACACGACTTTGGCTGAAATCACTACACTATTCGCATATTAGTTGATGAAGTAACTGCTCTAAATGCATTGAACACGTTCCCATAACAGCCGTACTGTATATCAGCGGCTTCATAATACACGATATGCACAACTGCAGATAACGATAATGATATTAAATGGGTGATTGTGATCCTGCGAGGAGCACTTTGTTTACATTTACACTGTGGCCAGCCGAGACAACAACTAAAACATCATCACAGAAAAATGACCACAACTAAACAAGAATGGCTGATGTACACTCAGAAACTCAGCTCCTTTATAGCTCAGGAATCATTAGATTTACAGTAGATTTCCAGAACTTCTATTATTCTCGCTTACAATTTACACAAGAGACGAGAGGCGCTCGCTTCAAGAGGAGAATGTGCTGCTGTCTACATTACGAATGACAGAATGTGCATTAAAATTTCTGAATTCTGTCCACTTTTCACTCCCACCACAGTCTGCTGAAGGATTTACTACATTAAAATGTAGACAACTATAGTATATTACAGTTTAGCATACTATAGTATTAACTATAGTGAATTAATAAACTGGGGTAAATACAGCAGAGCTGCTACAGTAAATGACATATTATAGTGTTTAGTTGCTTATATTATTCATTCATTCATTTTCCTTCGGCTTAGCTCCTTTATTCATCAGGGGTCACCACAGCGGAATGAACCGCCAACTATTCCAGCATATGTTTTACACAGCGAATGCCCTTCCAGCTGCAACCCAATCCTGGGAAACACCCATACACTCTCACATTTACATATACACTACGTCCAATTTCATTCATTCATTCATTCGTTCATTTTCCTTCGGCTTAGTCCCTTTATTCATCAGGGGTCACCACAGCGGAATGAACCGCCAACTATTCCAGCATATGTTTTAAACAGCGGATGCCACTCCAGCTGCAACTCAAATCTGCCCTGCTGAGAAAACAGCTTAAACCAGCCTAAGCCGGCTGGATTTAAAGGGGTTTTGGCCATTTCCAGGCTGGTTTCCAGTTATTTTCCAGTCTGGTCTTAGCTGGTCAGAAAAATGGCCAGCTAAAACCAGCTTGACCAGCTTGGTTTGAGCTGGACTCCTAAGCTTGTCAAGGTGGTTTAAGCTGGTCATCTCCCTGCCTAACCAGCTGGACTAATACTTTCGCCTGGCGCCGCATCGTGCACCTCGGCTGACTTGCGTGCACACCTCGCAAAACACACAAGGCTTTTATACCTGATGCGTTCGCCATTGTGATATTATTTAAAACGACAGGGGGGCGGATAAAAGAAACTGACCGCAAAGTCAGACGGACAAACAGAGAAGTAGAAAGTATCATTCAAGATTTTTAAACTAATAATTTTTTATTGTTTTTATACATTATTTTAATATTTATCGGGATTTTAAGAGCTGTAATTCAGTTTCTGACTGCCTTAAAGCTGAAATATCAAATATAATATCAACAAAGGCACAGCAAACACTGTAACGGTTATCGCACATACAGTATAGTACAGTTATAAGTAGATTTACTATACTAATTAATGCGTTCATTTTACTATAGTAGCTGCTGTGACTAACAGAACACATTAATGCAATTTACTGTAGTGTGTAATATAGTTATAGTAAATTTACAATAGTAATCCATGTGTTGGCGGCACGGTGGCTCAGTGGTTATCACTGTGGCCTTACAGCAAGAAGGTCGCTGGTTCGAGTCTCGGTTGGGTCAGTTGGCATTTCTATCTGGAGTTTGCATGTTCTCCCCATGTTGGCGTGGGTTTCCTCTGGGTGCTCCGGTTTCCCCCACAGTCCAAACACATGCGCTATAGGGGAATTGATCAACTAAATTGGCTGTAGTGTATGAGTGTGTGTGTGAATGAGTGTGTATGGGAGTATCCCAGTACTGGGAAGGGCATCCGCTGTGTACAACATATGCTGGAATAGTTGGCGGTTCATTCCACTGTGGTGACCACTGATGAATAAAGGGACTAAGCTTAAGGAAAATGAATGAATTCAAGTGTTTATTTTACTATAGTAGTTTCTATAACCGGTAGAATTACCAAATCAATGCAATTTACTGTAGTAATCTTCAAAAACACTACAGTATTCAATCACACTATCTTCTATAGCACATTTACTCTGAAATACCATAGTATTTTTTCCCATGGGATGTATTTTTAGTGCTAATGCAACATCATTTAGTGGACATTGTATATATTATCTTTCCTAGAGATGGCTTGCGGCTGGAAGGGCATCCGCTGTGTAAAACTTGCTGGATAAGTTGGCGGTTCATTCCGCTGTGGCAACCCTGGATTGATAAAGGGACTAACCCGACAGGAAAATGAATGAATGCATGAATATATAATCATTCATATTTTGGTCATGTGACGACTGTGTGAATCAAATTATGCTGACTGACTTATGGACAACACGCAACACTTTATATGTGACAAAAGCATCTTCTAGAATATCTTCATATACGCCTCCGTGCATTTGGGATTAAAGGAATGGTTATGTGTTTGATGGCGACTCTTCATCAATGTGGAAAGAGAACATAATCAATCATCTGAGCCCACATTCAGTCAGATATTACAGAAACACTCCACTTTATTTTGTAAATAGGCTCATCTTACAGCTCCTCTAGAGCTAAACAGGTGAGTTTCCAAAATTTCTGAATCCATTCAGCCTATCTCCGGGACTGGCGGGAGATCTTTTAGCTTAGCTTAGCATAGATCATTGAATCAGATTAGACCATTAGCATTTCGTTTAAAAAATTCTAAACAGATGCTGTTATGAAAATACTCCACATAGAGTGTTATAGCATTTTTTCTTTCAGTTGGTTGCTATGAGGGTGGCACGGTGGCGCAATGGTTTGCACCATCACCTCACAACAAGAAGGTCGCTAGTTTGAGTCCCGGCTGGTTTCTATGTAGAGCTATAGGGGAATTGATTAACTAAATTGGCTGTAGTGTATGAGTGTGTAAGTGAATAAGTGTGTATGGGTGTTTCCCAATACTGGGTTGCCCCTGAAAGAGCATCCGCTGTGTAAAGCATATGCTGGAATAGTTGGTGGTTCATTCCACTGTGGTGGCCCCGGATTAATAAAGGGACTAAGCCAAAGGAAAGTAAATGATACAGTGTATTATCGCTATACCATTACAAGTTAAAAGTCTTTAGCAGATTATTTGTTGACAGTGTATAGTCCCGCCCCTCCTCCACTGTGATTGGTCGGCTAGCTTAAAAGTGACACTGTAAGCAACCAAGCTTGAGAATAAAAACACTTCGGGTGGACACAATGCTAAACTAGCTATTTTTAAAATTTTGAGTAAGATGCTAATGGTCTAATCCGATTCAATGATTTATGCTAAGCTAAGCTAAAGGTGCAAACCTGGAGAAAGACTGAATGCATTAGAAAATTGGTAAAACTCACCTGTTTAGCTCTAGGGGAGCTGTAAAACGAGAGAAAAAGTAGAGTTTACTTCTATGCTTTTAATTTAAAGGGACGGTTCACCCCAAAACTCACTATTACACTCCTTCACGTGGTTTCAAACACTGACTTCCATAGTAGAAAAAACAAATTCAATGGGAGTCAATGTTTATCCGCTTTCTTTACAATATCTTCTTTGCGTTCAACAGAAGAAAGGAACGTAAACAGATTTGATGGGTGAGTAAATGATGACAGCGTTTTCATTTGTGGGTGAACTGGCCCTTTAAGAGGATGCTGATCTCAGCTCAGTTCAACCTGGAAATCTCTCCAAGTGAATCTGACCTGCCTGTGATTGGCTGGTAGAACTGTAAAGCGCTCTGTGATTGGCCGTGTCTGTGCATAGGCTTAATGTCTTTTGGCCCGCTGAGCACTTTGGGTACAGGAGGCGCAGCAGGCCGTCTTGTAATAGGAGTAGACGCAGAGCCGAGCCTGAACCACCATTACACAGTTATGCCGTCTGTCTTTACAGTTCTCATCTGCGAAGAGAGAAACAGGATGAGAAATGGGTTATCATCTGAATAAAGGGGTCATGTACATCCAGACGGCTATTATCGCAGTATAAAGCAGCTTAATTCTGTGAAAACAACCGGCTGGATGTACTTTATCCTGCTTATTGCATGACTACTTGCCACTATTAGACACAACACATTGATCTGAGCTGTAACAGTTTAGTAGCTCTTTAATTAGATGTAAAGCTTGCAGAAAGAAATGGGATGAATGCAACCTACACTAAACTACCTTTTGTTGTTATTATTCAGTCACAAGATGGCGCCAAACAGTCAAGAACAGCAGATAAACATATAGATGCATGAATATATACAGTTGCTATCAGCATATAATATACATTGGTCCATGGTGTACACTGGCGTCATGGTGGCACAGTGGGTAGCATGATCGCCTCACAGCAAGAAGATCGCTGGTTCGAGTCCCAGCTGGATCAGATGGCGTTTCTGTGTGGAGTTTGCATGTTCTCCCCTTGGGTTTCCTCTGGGTGCCCCCCTGGTCCAAACACATGCGCTATAGGGGAATTGATTAACTAAATTGGCTATGGTGTATGAGTGTGTGTGTGAATGTGAGTGTGCATGGGTGTTTCCCTGTACTGGGTTGCAGCTGGAAGGGCATCCGCTGTGTGAAACATATGCTGCGTAAGTTGGCGGTTCAATCCCCTGTGGTGACCCCTCATGAATAAAAGGACTAAGCCGAAGGAAAATGAATGAATGAATTTTCAGCAGAGAAAAATTGAGTGCATCCCTAATTTTTGGGGCAATATTTTTGTGAAAATGGGTTGCATCCCTAAACAATACACTTAGTAGTGAAAAAGGATGAGAGAGGTGTTATATAAGGAGTAGTATACATCTAGCTGGTTGTTCTTCCAGAATAAAGCCTGACAGTATTAACCTGCATATTTATGTGAAAACAACCGGCTGGATGTACTTTATCCTGCTTATTACATGACTACATGCCACAATACTACACTATTAAAGACGCAGAACATTGATCTGAGCTGTAATAGTTTACTAGCCAGCTTTTTAAAATTAAACGTGAAGCTTGCAGGAGGAGAAACGGCTGAAGGCAGGTCACACTAACCTACCTGTTATTATTATCATTCTGTCGCAAGATGGCGCCAAACAGCCAAGAACAACAGAGTAACAGATAAGCATATAAATATAAGAATATACAGCAGGATGAGCCTGTGTTATTAGTTGAATCAGTTGTTATCAGTGAATAGCTTACAATATAACCCACACACATACACACACACACACACACACACCCACACACACAGCTTTCTTTATGAGGATTCTCATAGCTGTAATGATGTTTTCACTGTAGAGACTGTATAATCTCTCCTCTACTTCAATCCTAACACTAAACTCAACCCTCACAGCAAACACTCTGCATTTTTATACTTTCGAAATACTTCATTTATGAATTGTTTTCCTCATGGGGACCAAAAAATGTCCACAACTTCAAAACTTACTGGTATTGCTATACTTGTGGGGACGTTTGGTTCCCACAATGTAAGGAATACAGGGTATACACACACACACACACACACAGACTAACCTTCGAAGGGACTGCAGGGAATGGTGTTGCAGGGCTGCTGGTGTGCAGGTCTGGCGTCTGGATGGCAGGTGGCGCTGTGCTGCTTGTCAGGTGTGAGGCAGCGCACCTCTCGCGTCTGGAGCCCTTCACCACAGGAGCGAGAGCACTGCACACATGATAAATGTAGACTTTTAACATTTACTTGTTGCGATTAATTGCTGAAACGTATATCACAATACATAAGAAGCAAAAAAGGTAGCATTCATTATACTATATAAACATGAGGGCAAAATTATTCACCGTCTTGTGAAATCTTTGTTTAATGTTTAATGCCGCAAAAATATTTTCTTTTTTACCATTTTTTAAGGCCAATATCATTAGCCCCTTTAAGATATTCATTTGTTTATATGTCTACAGAACAAACCAATTACCTGGTTTGACAGACAAACATACAGATGGACTGACAGACAGACGGACTTACGGACAGACAGACAAACAAACAGTCAGACGGATGGACAGACAGACAGATGGACGGACGGACGGACAGATAATTGAACAGATAGACAAACTGACAGATGGAGAGACAGACAGACAGACAGACAGACGGACGGACGGGCAGAAAGGCAGATGGACGAACAGACAGACAGAGGGACAGACAGATACGACAGATAGATGGACAGACAGACAGATGAACAGGCAGACAGATGGACAAACAGACGGAAGGACAGACAGAGAGACAGACAGATAATTGGACAGATAGACAAACAGACAGATGGAGAGACAGACAGATGGACAAACGGGCAGACAGGCAGACGGACAGAGGGATGGACAGATAAGACAGACAAACAGACAAGACGGACAGAAAGATGGACGAATGGACGGACATATAGACGGATGGACAAACAGACAAATGGACAAACAGACAGACGGACTTACGGACAGACAGAGGGACGGACAGATGGACAGACAGACAAACAAATGGATGGACAGATAGAAGGACAGACAGACAGACAGACAGATAGACAGACAGACGGACAGTGAGATGGACAAACAGATAGACAAACACAGACACTTAGGTAGGCAGACGGCTGCAGGTGCTCACCGTGCTCCAGTCGGTGGTGAACCACTGTGGTGTGCAGGGCTGCAGCTCACAGGGCTGCACAGGTGAGGGTTTCTCCAGGTGAGAGCAGTCGCTGGAGCTGCTGACCGTAAACTCACTGCCGCTCTTCCTCACACAGATGACGTCTCTGCGCTGAGTTCCGTTTCCACACACTGCGTTACACTGACAAAACACAACACAGAGAACACACACACAGACCAAAACAAGTCTGCTTCACTTATTCTGAACTATTATGTATTTCTGTTCTGCATTGTGCGGTGATAGCTTATCAGCTCTTCATTACTCATTGCAACTTTATCCTCAAATGACATTGTCGTCTATATTCAATTATGTTACATTTTAATCTACTCTCTATTTCTATTCCTCACAGAATAAGCCCAACAGCTTTATCAGCAGCTGTTGTGTAAGGCTGAATGGTTGATTCTGCAAGAAACACCGGCTGGATGTACTTTATCCCTTACTTATAGTTGTGTGTGCAGTAGACTCACGTATCCCCAGGGCCCGGTGTACCACAGGTATGTGGCTGTACAGGGGCCACCGTTACAGGCCTTCATGTCTGCAGGTTTGTCCCCGACACACTCCAGTCCTCCGTCTCCTTCTCTCCGGCCTCCAGCGCTCACACACACCACCTCCCTGCGCTGCACACCCGGCCCGCACTCCGCAGAACACTGACACAAACAGGAGCCAGAGTTTAACACACTGCGTTATGCAAATCAAGAGGAGTCTGATTGGTTGGTCAGTACTCACAGTGTGTGTCCAATCAGTGAAGTACCAGTTGGTGACGCACGGACCCATGTGACAGTCCTCGCTGTGCTGTGGGCGGAGCCTGTCATTGCACTCCCGGTCATTCACAGTGTTGCCGTGGTTACTGACACAACGCACATTCCTGGTTCTCTTTCCCATTCCACAATCCACCGAACACTGTCGGAAAACACACGCATTTGCACAATTACAACAGTTAAAATATGCCTGAACACATGCTATCTGTGCAAAAACAAACACAGAAACGCAGAAACTCGTAACTTTGTCCAATAAAAATGAAAGCAGATCCAATGTGCTCTCGTAACAGCCGCTAGGAGTCATGGCCTTAAGCGCCCTTGTTAGAACAACCAACTCTCATACAAAGAATCGCCATTTTAATCCCAGCTTGGAATGGGATGGGTGCAGTTGGACCGGTGGGTTACATGTGGGGGCTCGTCCGGGATGGGAGTGAGGTTTAGAGGGGTGACTGTCATTGAGGGCAGCCAGCAAAGTGCTATGCAGGTAAACCTCACTCCTCTGACCTCAAAAGGTGATCCAGTGCACAACGCTAGAGGCCATGGTCTTTAGCCACCTTGTTAGACCAACCAACTCCCATACAAAGAATCACCAGTTTGATCCTAGCTCTATACGGGATGGGTGAAGTAGGACTGGTGGGGTACACTTGGAGGCTAGTCTGGAATGAGTGTAAGGTTTGGGGGGGTGTATTGGAGGCTAGCTAGCGAAGGGCTATGTGGGTAAACCTCACTCTGACCTCAAAAGGTGCTCTAGCCATAGATACTGGTGGGATACATGTGGGGGCTCGTCCGGGATGGGAGTGAGGTTTATAAGGTTTAAAGGGGTAAGTGTCATTGAGGCCAGCTTGCAAAGTGCCTTGACCTCAAAAGGTGCTCTAGCCGTAGATGCTAGAGGCCATGGTATTTACCATCCTTGTTAGAGCAACTAACTCTCATACAAAGAATCGCCATTTCAATCCCAGCTTGGAACAGAATGAGTGCAGCAGGACTGGTGGGTTACATGTGGGGGCTCGTCCGGGATGCTAGTGAGGTTTAGAGGGGTGGGTGTCATTGAGGTCAGCTTGCAAAGTGCCATGCAGGTAAACCTCACTCCTCTGACCTGTGCTCTAGAGATGCTAGATGCCATGGTCTTTAGCCTCCTTGTTAGAGCAACCGACTCCCATGCAAAGAATTGCTGGTTCGATCCCTGCTCAGAAAGACATGGGTGCAGTAGGACCTGTGGGTTACACTTGGGGGCTCGTCCGGGATGGGAGTGAGGTTTAGAGGGGTGACTGCCATTGAGACCAGCTAGCAAAGTGCTATGCAGGTAAACCTCACTCCTCTGACCTCAAAAGGTGATCCAGTGCACGACGCTAGAGGCCATGGTCTTTAGCCTCCTTGTTAGACCATCCAACTCCCATACAAAGAATCACCAGTTTGATCCTAGCTCTATACGGGATGGGTGAAGTAGGACTGGTGGGGTACACTTGGAGGCTAGTCTGGAATGAGTGTGAGGTTTGGGGGGGGGGGGTGTATTGGAGGCTAGCTAGCGAAGGGCTATGTGGGTAAACCTCACTCCTCTGACCTCAAAAGGTGCTCTAGCCATAGATACTGGAGGGTTACATTTGGGGGCTCGTCCGGGATGGGAGTCAGGTTTATGAGGTTTAGAGGGGTAAGTGTCATTGAGGCCAGCTTGCAAAGTGCCTTGACCTCAAAAGGTGCTCAAGCCATAGACGCTAGAGGCCATGGTATTTAGCATCCTTGTTAGAGCAACTACCTCTCATACAAAGAATCGCCATTTCAATCCCAGCTTGGAACAGAATGAGTGCAGCAGGACTGGTGGGTTACATGTGGGGGCTCGTCCGGGATGCTAGTGAGGTTTAGAGGGGTGGGTGTCATTGAGGTCAGCTTGCAAAGTGCCATGCAGGTAAACCTCGCTCCTCTGACCTGTGCTCTAGAGATGCTAGATGCCATGGTCTTTAGCCTCCTTGTTAGAGCAACCGACTCCCATGCAAAGAATTGCTGGTTCGATCCCTGCTCAGAAAGACATGGGTGCAGTAGGACCTGTGGGTTACACGTAGGGGCTCTTCCGGGATGGGAGTGAGCCTAGGGGGGTGAGTGTAATGGAGGCCAGCTAGCGAAGTGTCCTCACTCCTCTAACCACAAAAGGTGCTCTAGCGACAGATGCTAGAGGCCATGGTCTTTAGCCTCCTTGTTAGAGCAACTGACTCCCATGCAAAGAATTGCCGGTTAGATCTAAGCTCAAAACAAGATAGGTGCAGTAGGATCGGTGGGTTACACGAGAGGGGATCATCTGGTATGGGAGTGAGGTTTACGGGGTTGAGTTTAATGGAGGCCAGCTAGCGAAGTGCTATGCGGGTAAACCTCACACCTCTGACCTTAAAAGGTGCTCTAGCGACAAATGTCATGGCCTTTAGCCTCTTTGTTAGAGCAACCGACTCCCATATAAAGAATCGCTGATTTGGTCCCAGCTCAAAATGGGATGGCTGCAGAAGAACCAGTGGGTTGCACGAGGGGGCTCGTCCGAGATGGGAGTGAGGTTTAGGGAGTTGAGTGTAGCAGAGGCCAGCTAGCAAAGTGCTATGTGGGTAAACCTCACTCCTTTGACCTCAAAAGGTGCTCTAGTGACAACTGCCATGGTCTTTAGCCTACTTATTAGAGCAACCATCTCCTATCCAAAGAATCGCTGGTTGGATCCCAGCGTTGAATGGGATGTGTGCAGTAGGACTGGAGAGTTACAGTTGCCTAGTGCACTTCTTTTTGCCTTGTCAACAAAAAAGGCAGTGTGGTGCAGCTTGCATTCTCATGATGGAGTAACACATTCGGTGTGATCGGCCCCTCATTTCATATTCATTTGTACAATCATATCCGTACATTTTACTATGATTTGCTCATCCCCAACCCTAAACTTACACAAAGGAAATCATATAAATGTGTAGGAATTGCTTGGTGCGGTATGTCTCACCGTGCTCCAGTTGGTGCTGATCTCCCAGTGTGAACAGACGCGCGGGTGGCAGGGCTGTGTGGCGTTGGGACGGCTAAGACCAGCGCAGCGCTGAGGGTGGACCATCGTTGAGCGGTTCCCAAAGCTCTGCCTGCACTGTATCTGACGCTGCTGAACACCCCAACCACAGGAAACACTGCACTCTGACCACGCCCCCATATCCCAGCTACACACACACACACACACACGTTAACTGAGATAGATGGTCTATCTATGGGAACTATGGTAACACAGCTACAGAATCTGAATCTGGGATGTTGCTAACAAGTTTAGCATTTTCCTGTTGTGAATTAACATCATGCCATGTAGCATATAGCATGTTGTTTACTTCTTTATAGCATGTTTATCTTGAAGCTATAATGTTTTAATATACTTGCGAGAATAAATTAGCATAATGCTAGCATTTTTCTAGCATGTTTAACATGTTTTAGCATTGCAAACTAACTGTTGATCAATTGAATGCATCTTTGTCAAATAAACATGTTAGTTTTTTAAAGAAAAATTTAATTCACAGTTAGCCTACTCACAATGGTGGACATGGATGAACATTACATGGTTCCTCCTCTGGCGTGGGTTTGGTTGCAGAGTCACACCTCCTCTCGTGAACCTCCTGTTCTGTGTGTCTGTTCACACACACAATCTCTCTGTACTGAGAGCCTGAGTACACACAAGCAGATACACACACATGAAAACGATTCAAAACTACCCACATGAGAAATACTGTAGTAACTTAATCATTCATTTTTCTTAGGCTTAATTCCTGATTTATCAGAGGTCGCCACAGCGGAATGAACAGCCTGTAGTAAACTAAATTCAATGCTAATATAGTAAAACTATTTGTTTTGTAATGCTTTAAACCATATTACAGTAAAGTACTTAAATTAAATTTTGTGTGGTAATTTTATAGTTGCTATGGCAACACTACTACAGTAAGTACGTAAATAAAATTTGTTGCAATAATTCTATAGTTGCTATGGCAACACAACAACTACAGTAAAAGTATGTAAATTAAATTTGTTGCGATAATTCTATAGTTGCTATGGCAACACAAAAACAACAATAACGTACTTAAATTTGTTGTGGTAATTCTATAGTTGCTATGGTAACACATCGACTACAGTAAAGTACTTAAATTAAATTTGTTGTGGTAATTCTACAGTTGCTATGGTAATACTACAACTACATTAAAGTACGTAAATTAAATTTCTTCATTAATTCTTTAGTTGCTATGTCAACACAAAAACTACAATTACGTACCTAAATTCAAATTGTTTTGGTAATTCTATAGTTACTATGGCAACACAACAGCTACTGTAAAGTACTTTAATTAAATTTGATGTAATTCTATAGTTGCTATGGCAACACAACGACTACAGTAAAGTTCATTCATTCATTCATTTTCTTTTCGGCTTAGTCCCTTTATTAATCGCCACAGCGGAATGAACCGCCAGCTTATCCAGCACGTTTTTTCGCTATTGCACCACTGCGTTGCCCCTACAGTAAAGTACTAAAATTAAATTTGTTGTGGTAATACTATAGTTGCTATGGCAACACAACAACTATGATAAAGTACTTAAATTAAATTTGTTGTGGTAATTCTATAGTTGCTATGCCAACGCGACAACTACGATAAAATACTTAAATTAAATTTGTTGTGGTAATTTTATAGTTGCTATGGCAACGCGACAACTACGATAAAATACTTAAATTAAATTTGTTGTGGTAATTCTGTAGTTGCTATGGTAACACAACAACTACTGTAATGTACATTAATTAAATATGTTGTGGTAATTTTACAGTTGCTATGGTAACAACAACTTTACTAGAGTACTTGAATTATTCTATTGTGGTAATACTGTAGTTTCTATGGTAACACAACAACTACAGAACAGTACTTGAATAAATCCGTGACACACACTTTAATCTAGTATTGTTCCAAAACACTATAGTACTTAATATAGTATTTTTTTTTAAATGTTATTACACATAAATGAACTGTGTAAACAAATGGCAATGTATTCTGGGTGGCTGTTTACACCCTCGAGTCTCTGTGAACTTGGTCTCCAGATACTGCTTGGGTTCTGTGGAATCTGTTTTACTATTCCTGCTATAGTAAACATGTAAAAATAGGAAGCGTGCTTTGCCAATATATGCAGTTTAATGCAGCATGCCAACCTGCAGCTGTTTAAACACACCAGGAGGAGGAGGCAGAGAGCAAACTCACACTGGCCACTTCAGATTAATGAAAAACAGTGGTGAGAAACACACACACACACACACACACACACACACACACACACACACACACACACCCCACCCCTACACACACACACACACACGCATGCACACGGAGAGAGAAACTCCTTAACAGTCTGGCACACGAACACTCTTTTCCACAGCGTTGGCTCTGGTCTTGTGTCAGTAGGCAACGGGTTCATGTTCAGTGAGTGATTCCAGCTCTACTTTTACAAATAAACACTCTGGAGCACAGGTTAAACCCTGACACACTCAGTAACGTCTCATGTAAAACTCATAACAGCAGACGCATGATGAGGAAAGTGCAGTATTTTAGTTAGCACCTCACAGCAAGAAGGTGCCTGGTTCGAGTCCTGACTGGGTCAGTTGGCGTTTCTGTGTGGAGTTTGCATGTTCTCCCTGTGTTGGCATGGGTTTCCTCCGGGTGCTCCGGTTTCCCCCACAGTCCAAACACATGCACTATAGTGGAAGTGATCAGCTAAATTGGTCTTAGTGTATGAGTGTGAATGAGTGTGTATGAGTGTTTCCCAGTACTTGGTAGCAGCTGAAAGAGCATCCGCTGCACAAAACATATGCTGGAATAGTTGGTGGTTCATTCCGCTGAGTCGACCCCTGATAAATAAGCGACTGAGCTGAAGGAAAATGAATTATTATACAGTGTGAGCTAATCTGACCTTTTCCACAGGTAGCAGTGCATTCTGTCAGCGCTCCTCGTCTCCACACAAACACAGGCAGATTGTCCAATGGGAGGTCTGTTCTTGGAGGGATCCGAGCATTTCGATTGGGTCCTAAGCCCTGTGGGCGGGGCCTCTCAGGTGGCCATCGATCAGATGAAGACGAAGATGATGATGATGATGAAGGGAAGGAAGACGACACTGGAGGAGGAGCAACAGGGTTTTCCACTGCCATCGAGACTCCAGCTGAAAGGCAAGCAGAAGACCATCACTGACCTCAAACTCAATCATTCGCCCTCCTGAATATTTTTCCTCCCAATTTCTGCTTAATAGAGAGATCTTTTTCAGCATGTTTCCAATCATAATAGTTTTAAGAACTTGTTTCCCTCATGTGGTACTTGGGAGCTGCAGGCATATGTATCATACACAGACATTATAAAGGGCTAAAACTAAAAGGGCTGTATCCATATATATTTCAGTTCAGTAAAGGTTTCCACCAAATACTGTGTCCTGCTGCCCTTTACTGGGAAAACTGGATAGCGAATCTATACCAGATCACAAGCAGAGAACCTGAAGAGGCTTTAACACTGCATTAATGGTCAGCCGCCATTACAGGAAACACCGTTATAAGTCAGAATTCTGACTTTATACTCAAAATTCTAACTTTAAAACTTGAAATCGCAACTTTATACTCGGAATTCTGACTTTATACTCGGAACATTGACTTTATAACTCGGAATTCTGACTTTAAACTCAGAATTCTGACTTTATAACTCAGAATTGCAACTTTATACTCGGAATTCTGACTTTATAACTCGGAGTTCTGACTCTATAACTCAGAATTGCAACTTTATACTCTGAATTCTGACTTTATAACTCGGAGTTCTGACTTTATAACTCAGAATTCTGACTTTATAACTCGGAGTTCTGACTTTATAACTCAGAATTCTGACTTTATAACTCAGAATTCTGACTTTATACTCGGAATTCTGATTTTATAACTCGGAGTTCTGACTTTATAACTCAGAATTCTGACTTTATAACTCGGAGTTCTGACTTTATAACTCAGAATTCTGACTTTATAACTCGGAGTTCTGACTTTATAACTCAGAATTCTGACTTTATACTCGGAATTCTGATTTTATAACTCGGAGTTCTGACTTTATACTCGGAATTCGGACTTAATACTCGGAATTCTAACTTTAAAACTTGGAATTGCAACTTTATACTCGGAATTCTGACTTTATAACTCTGAGTTCTGACTTTAGAACTCGAAATTCTGACTTTATACTCGGAATTTTGACTTTATACTCGGAATTCTGACTTTAAAACTTGGAATCGCAAGTTTAAACTCAGAATTCTGACTTTGTAACTCGGAGTTCTGACTTTATACTTGGAATTCTGACTTTATACTCGGAATTCTGACTTTATACTCGAAATTCTGACTTTATACTCGGAATTCTGACTTTATACACGGAATTGTTTAAAAATGGGAATCGCAACTTTAAACTCAAAATTCTGACTTTATAACTCGGAATTGCAACTTTATACTCGGAATTCTGACTTTATAACTCGGAGTTCTGACTTTATACTCGGAATTCTGACTTTATAACTCGGAGTTCTGACTTTATACTCGGAATTCTGACTTTATACTCGGAATTCTAACTTTAAAACTTGGAATCGCAACTTTAAACTCAGAATTCTGACTTTATAACTCGGAGTTCTGACTTTAGAACTCGAAATTCTGACTTTATACTCGGAATTTTGACTTTATACTCGGAATTCTAATTTTAAAACTTGGAATTCTGACTTTATAAACCGGAATTCTGACTTTATACTCGGAATTCTGACTTTTTACTTGGAATTCTTACTTTATACCTGGAATTCTGACTTCATAACTTTGAATCGTAACTTTAAACTCAGAATTCTCACTTTATAACTCGGAATTGCAACTTTAAACTCAGAAATCTGACTTTTTAACTCGGAATAGTTACTTTATACTCGGAATTCTTATTTAATAACTCCAAATTCTAGCTTTAATAATTTGGAATTCAGGCTTTATAACGCAGAGTTCCGACTTTATATATTTATTTTAAAAACATTTATTAATTTATTTATTTTTATTCAGTGGCGAGACCGGGCTTCCATACATATTGACCTTAAAATGTTTTTTATAAAATTAAAAACTGCTTTTATTGTAGCTAAAAATAAAACAAATAAGACTTTCTCTAGAAGATACATATTATAGGATATACTGTGAACAATTCATTGCTCTGTTAAAATTGAGAGATATTAGCAAAAGAAAAAACACACACAGGAGGGTGAATAATTCTGTCATTATTTACTCATCCTGTTTGAGTTTCTCTCTTCTGTTACACACAAAGAAAGATGCTTCAAAACATCTTCCTTTGTTTTTAACAGAGAAGCGAGAACTGTTAAATTAGACAGCGGGTAGAAGTTCACTAGGTTTTAATTCCCTCATGAACAACCAGCTTAAACCGGCATGTGGTGTTGTGCTGCTGGTATTAGCTGGTTAAAGCTGATTGAGCTGCTCTGTTCCCAAGATTCTCCCCGAAAAAATAGTTTTTAGCAGGGCTGGCACAGAGACGAGGCTGATTCATACTTTTGTCACACACTTTCACTGTGACCCCATTCTCAGAAACACACACACACACACACACACACACACACACACACACACACACACACACACACACACACACACACACACACACACACACACACACACACACACACACACACACACACACACACACACACACACACACACACACACACACACACACACACACACACACACTATTCTCCTGTAATGGCCTTAAAAGGTTTCAGTGGTGGCCGTTCAGTGAGGGAGAAATAAGAGAAGACTGCTCAAGTGAAATATATCTGCACGGCACACACACATATAAACACTATAAATTTAGAGGCAGAGAGAGAGAGAAGATCATGAGGAGAGAAAAATACAGGAGACAGAGAGAGAGAGAGAGAGATACAGTGTAAAAAGTGCAGTGTTGCACACAATTCCTTCATATTATCCAAACACAAATCCCTTAAGTTAATGTAACTCATTTAATAAGTAGATTAAACATAAAACAAAGAACTTTTATGGTCCAAAAAATGCAGAATTGTTTTGTTTCAGCTCATTTTAAATACAAGCAGCGAACACTCACCGGCCACTTTATTAGGTACACCTGTCCAACTGCTCGTTAACGCAAATTTCTAATCAGCCAATCACATGGCAGCAGCTCAATGCATTTCGGCATGCAGACATAGTCTAGACGATCTACTGCAGTTCAAACTGTGCATCAGAATGGGGAAGAAAGGGGATTTAAGTGACTTTGAACATGGCATGGTTGTTGCTGCCAGACGGGCTGCTCTGAGTATTTCAGAAACTGCTGATCTACTGGGATTTTCACGCACAACCATCTCTAGGGTTTACAGAGAATGCTCCGACAAAGAGGAAATATCCAGTGAGCGGCAGTTCTGTGGGCGCAAATGCCTTGTTGACGAGGTCAGAGGAGAATGGCCAGACTGGTTCCAGCAACAGTAACTCAAATAAGCACTCGTTACAACCGAGCTCTGCAGAAGAGCATCTCTGAACACACAACACGTCCAACCTTGAGGCGGATGGGCTACAGCAGCAGAAGAGCACACCGGGTGCCGCTCCTGTCAGCTAAGAACAGGAAACTGAGGCTAAAATTCACACAGACTCACCAAAACTGGACAATAGAAGATTGGAGAAACGTTGCTGCTCTGATGAGTCTCCATTTCTGCTGACACATTCAGATGCTCGGCTCACAATCTGCCCTCAACAGCATGAAAGCATGGATCATCCTGCCTTGTATCAGTGGTTCAGGCTGGTGGTGGTGGTGTAATGGTGTGGGGGAGATTTTCTTTGGGTCCATTAGTACCAATTGAGCATCAACGCCACAGCCTACCTGAGTATTGCTGCTGACCATGTCCATCCCTTTATGAGCACAGTGTCTCCATCTTCTGATGGCTACTTCCAGCAGGATAAGGCAGCATGTCATAAAGCTCAATCATCTCAGACTGGTGAACATGACGATGAGTTCACTGTACTCAAATGGCCTCCACAGCCACCAGAGCTCAATCCAATAGAGCAGCTTTGGGATGTGGTGGAACGGGAGATTGGCATCATGGATGTGCAGCCGACAAATCTGCAGCAACTGTGTGATGCTATCATGTCAACATGAGGAATATTTCCAGTGTCTTGTTGAATCTGTCACCAAAGATTAAGGCAGTTCTATAGGCAAAACCCACTACTACGTGTACCTAATAAAGTGGCCGGTGAGTGTAAATAATTTAGAGTGTAGTCTGACTTTTCTGGAGTGTAGTTAAACTCACTGGTCTCTCTGAGTGCCGATCTCCCTCTCTCTCTCTCTCTGAGCACTTCTCTCTCTCCGTCTCTCCGTTTATCCACTGGGATGTAATATTCATAGTCGATGCCTGGATTCTGCCTGTGGAAAATAATCTACAGCGAGAGAAAGGGGAAAAAAACAGGTTAATAAACTCCAGCATATGGAAACATCTCACTCCACGACCGCATTCCAGTCAGTGTCAGCCATATTTCACACACAACACACTCGCACAGTCTTTACCTTCACTTCTAAATCAACCTAAAGCTGAAAGATCATTATTCCACTCTGACTTAAAGATTCTGACCCTTCCCTTTCCACCCAGTACTGGGAAACACCCATACACACTCATTCACACACACACACTCATACACTATGTTCAATGCAGTTGATCAGTTCCCCTATAGCGCATGTGTTTGGACTGTGGGGGAAACCAGAGCACCCAGAGGAAACCCACACCAACACGGGGAGAACATGCAAACTCCACACAGAAACACCAACTGGCCCAGCCGGGATATATCTCTATATGTGTGTGTGTGCATGCTCACGTATAGCTGCAGCAGTGCAGTAGTGGGTCCAGCAGCAGTGAGGGTCTCTCCTCTGTCCTCTCCCGGCTCCTGAGGCTCCGCTTTGGGTCGGGTGTAGAGGAAAGCGGCTCCTCCTGCCTGATACTCTCCTGGAGGATCCACAGCCCAGCGGCCGTTCACCACTGACTGACCTGTCCCACTGCGCAGAGCTGCACACACACACACACACACACACACACACACACACACTAATGAGATTAAAGTCACAACACGCAGAGCTGGTTTGACCATGTTTTGGAGTCCTCTGACAGTCATCATTTGTTTGTGGAAGGCTGTTTTTAGCTGTGTGTAATTACAGATCTCAGTACAGATCTTGTGATGATCTTTTTATGAGTTTCCTACATAATCACACACCACATGCGAGCAGGAATTCTCCCTCTCTTAGCAGCAGTGTAAAGGTAAAGATGATGCAGAGACATTAAGAAACTCAAATTACAGAGAAAATGTATTTTACATTCATAGAGACTGAAAAAGACCTTCAATACTGACAACTAGACTAATACTGAGACTACAATTAAAACCACGCAACATTGCTTCTTATTTTTATAATCAAATTTAATTTATGCAACAATGTTTCTTATTTTTATTCATTCATTCATTCATTTTCTTGTCAGCTTAGTCCCGTTTTAATCCAGGGTCGCCACAGCGGAATGAACCGCCAACTTATCCAGCAAGTTTTTTTAGCAACGCATGCCCTTCCAGCTGCAACCCATCTCTGGGAATCTTATTTTTATAATCAAATTTAATTTATGCAACAATGTTTCTTATTTTTATAATAAAAATTAATTTATGCAATAATGTTTCCTATTTTAATAATAACATTTTAATTATGCAACATTGCTTCTTATTTGAATAAAATTTAATTTATGCAACAATGTTTCCTAATTTAACAATAAAATTTAATTTACATGACAATGTTTCTTAATTTAATAATACAATTAAATTTATGCAACATTGCTTCTTATTTGAATAATAAAATTTAATTTATGCAACAATGTTTCCTAATTTAACAATAAAATTTTATTTACACAAAAATGTTTCTTAATTTAATAATACAATTTAAATTATACAACAATTTTACTTAATAATAAAATTTAAATTATGCAATAATATTTCTTATTTTAATAATAACAATTTAATTATGCAACATTGCTTCTTATTTGAATAATAAAATTAAATTTATGCAACAATGTTTCTTATTTTAACAATAAAATTTAATTTATACGACAGTGTTTCTTTTTTTAATAATAAAATTCAATTTATGCAACAATTTTTCTTAATTTAATAATAAAATTATGTGATAATTAAATAATTAAAATTATGCAAATTTTCCCTAGTTCAATAATAATTTCAAACTATGCAACACATTTTCTTAATTTAATAACATTTCCATGCAACAATTTTTCTTAATTAGAAACAATTAAGTTGATTTAATTTGTTCATTTAATTTATAATTTAATTATTATTAAAAGAAATTCGTTCATTTGACTAACCTCATGATGAACATAAATGGAAAAAATAGATAATTAACTGTATTATTTTACTAACATCTATCTATCTATCTATCTATCTATCTAGCTATCTATCTATCTATCTATCTATCTATCTATCTATCTATCTATCTATCTATCTATCTATCTATCTATCTATCTATCTATCTATCTATCTATCTATCTATCTATCTATCTATTAGTATAAATACACACATATATTATGTCAAAACTATCCTTTATTTTGGATGTGATTAATTGTGGTTATATTTTTGCCCAGCACTAGTTTAAATCATTTATTAAAATAAATAAAAACCCTCAGCGTAAAAGTTAACAACACATCCTGAGCTCTGAGGGAACAACCTCTGATCAACAAAACTACGGCAGACACACACACACACACACACACACAGAACAAACTACAGTAAAATAAAAGCCAATAAAAGGATGTCAGAGAGACAGAAAAGGCTGATCTGTCGTGTAACTCTGTCAGTGTTTTGTCTAATACAGCGATCTGCCTCCGGGGCTCCGGAACACACAGCCAAATGCAGAAACAAACACAGACATGTTCACTACTAAAGGAAAACATGCCTGCATTACCTAATCCAGCCCAGAGATCCTCCAGAGCTGCGCTTATAAGATCAACAGCCGTGAATTTGTGTGCATTCCTGAGTCCTGTTCAGGCTAATATTAGGATGAGCACCACATTAGCAGTGTGATTCACCACAGCCAAAACTACCAACACAGACTCAGTGAAGAAATGTGCTTCAGGCTAATATTTTAACACACGTTTGACTGGGGTTTGAAGGTAAATGGACACTAGGGGGCAGTATGACCACTATGACTTTAGTTCCTTTTCACACTAATGATATTTATAAGCACACAATATTGACTAGTAAAAGATTATTATCGTGCATTTCTTTGCATGACGCTAAATAAACACCACAAAACATCTTATGTCTGCTTCTGAAAACACTATTGGTTGGGTTTAGCTCAGTGATTGACATTCTCCCTTTGTGCGTGTCATCAGAGGGAGAAGCCCCGCCTACTAGTGCCCATCTCTTCCTCATTAGCATAGGAGGTTAGTCTTGTTTTTGAATATGCCACTATGCTGACACACAGGCATCTGCAGCTCCGCCCTCTTCTGAAAAATCTCATTTGCATTTAAAGCGACAGTCATCAAAACACCACAATTAGGATCAAAGCCTAATGCTGCGTTCAAACCAGGCGCAGAAGAAGCATCAAGAGGGATTTACATGTTAAGTCAATGCAAAGACGCGAATAGACATCCTGCGGTGCAATACACGCGAAGGTGGTGGCGCAAATACAGCAGCACAAGTTGAGTGTTTTGAGCGATCGATGCGTTTACGCACGTAACGCATATTTCGAATCTGAACTTCAGTGGACATTCGCGCCGCGTTAACCAATGACGCGCCCTGTCCATGACATGACTCTGCATCTATTGTAAAGCAGATTTGATGTGCGAATGCAGCAGATTTTGACGCGCAAATGAAGCAGTCTTGTTGTGCAAATGAAATAGATTTGATGCGCAAATGAAGTGTATTTTAACATGCGAATGAAACGGACTCGACGTGCAAATGACTCAGACTTGATGCACAAATAAAGCGAATTTTGACGAGTAAATGAAGCGGACTTGACGTGCAAACAAAGCGCATATAAATGTGCAAACATGCGAATGAAGCAGATTTTGGTGCGCGAATGAAGCGGATTTGACATGCGAATGAGGCGGACTTGAAGCACAAATGAAGCAGATTTGACGTGAGAATAAAGCGGATTTTGACGTGCAAATGAAGCGAACTTGATGCGCGAATGAAGCAGTTTTGACGTGCAAATGAAGCGAACTTGATGCGCGAATGAAGCGGTTTTGACGTGCGAATGAAGAGGATTTTACATGCGAATGAAGCGGACTTGACGCGAGAATGAAGCATATTTTGACGTGCGAATGAAGTGAGTCAACTCAAAATGTTCACGAGTCTATTTACACGTGAATAGCGTGATTTATCCGCACGTTGCCTTGCCGGTGTGAACACAGCATTAAAGGGTCTGTTTCAGAGAGTTATAAAACATTTTCTGTGCGCTATTTAGAGCTGAAACTTCACACACACACACACACACAGACACACACACGCACACAGAGTTCATACCCAGGTAGTTTGGGCTGGCCCGTCTCTCCGTGATGTTGATAGCCGTGGCTCCGGGTGGAATGTCCAGGATTTTGTGGTATCCCAGAGGAACACTGGTGTTCATGAAGCTCCCGCTGACCCGTTCACAGGTGCCGTCCTCACCGCCACACACACCACAGCGGTCCCGGACCAGCCCGGAGCCCAGCACACCGTCACAACCCTCGCTCTGAAACACACACACATGGTTTTGTCTTCGACTCTATGGCAGTGATCATATTAAAACAAGAAGATATTTTACATATGGTCAGCTTAACACTTAGCATTCATACCAATTAAGATTAGAACAGAATTAAATTTAATAGTGAAACACATGCACTGTCTGAAAATATGACATTCAGTTTAAATTAGTTATTTCTATATAGTTATTTTCTATTTATTGTCAAACCACAGTAAAACAGCATCTTAAGGGATGTTGTATGTTTGCACTGCAGCTGAGCAGATTTATCAGGTCTGATGATTTTGGTGTGTGTGTGTGTGTGTGTGTGTGTGTGTGTGTGTGTGTGTGTGTTCTTACCAGGCAGCGCCCCCCCACACACACATCAGTGGGTGTGTTGTTTGCGCAGGGTGTCCCATCTCGAACCCTCTCCGCCTGGCGCACGTAGAAACGGTAACCGACCGGCCGACAGGTTAACTCACACTGCTGCTCCAGACCCACTGAAAACAGACAACAGCACATCTATTACCCGAGTAGATTTATTATTAGATTTATTACAGCACTGCAGTTTCCCCCGGTGAAGTCATGGTGATCTATTACACTTTAGTAGGTGTTTTGAACACGATTTATAACCCAAGCCCACTTAAAAACCATTTATCCAAAATTAGTTTTCGAGTCGTTCAGAGATGATGTCACGAGCATGAGATTATTCAGCCCAGGCTCAATGGAAGTACGGGCCTTAGACTACATGATTGTGAAATGTCAAATACATGCTTCAAGTATGTTTCATTGCATGTTTTAGATGACAAATCCACAAGAGGGCGCTGTCTATATGTGTGTAAAACAAAATGCGTAGCTCTGGGTATCGTTTCACTTCAAGACTAACTCTACCAGAGGGCGTTTATATTTTTGCTAAATGTAAAATACATTGCTCCGGGTTTGTTTCATTGCATCTTTTTGATGACAATTCCACTAGGGGGTGCTGTCTACACTTTTGTGAAATTTAAAATACGTAGCTCTGAGTATCGTTGCACTTTTAGAGGACAAATCCATTAGAGGGCGCACTCGATATTTTTGCTAAATTTAAAATACGTAGTTCTTGGTATCGTTGCACTTCTGAAGGACAAATCCATTAGAGGGCGCTGTGAGCATATTTGCTAAACGTAAAATTTGTTGCGCCAGGTGTGTTTCATTGCACATTTCAGATGACAAATCCACTAGAGTGCGCTGTCTATATTTTTGTGAAACATAAAATACGTAGCTCTGAGTATCTATGCATTTGGAGGACAAATATTCTAGAGGGCGCTGTGTACATTTTTGCGAATCTGAAATACGTTACTTAGGGAGTTTCATTACACATTTCAGATGACAAATCCACTAGAGGGCGCTGTGTACATTTTTGCTAAATGTAAAATACTTAGCCCTGGGTATCACTGCACTTCTAGAGGACAAATCCACTCAAACGATGCCTATATTTTTGCTAAATGTAAAATCCGTTGCTCAGGGTACATATTGTTGAGTGTTTCAGATGACAAATCCAGTAGAGAGCACATTTTTGCAAAACATAAAATACGAAGCTCTGGGTAAACTTGCACTTCAACGACGAATCCACTAGAGGGCGCTGCGTGCATTTTTACTCAATGTAAAATATGTTACTCATTGCATGTCTTAGATGATAATTCCACTAGAGGGCGCCTTTTACATTTTCGCAAAACTTAAAATACCTACCGCTGGGTATCGTTGCAGTTCTAGAGGACAAATCCACTAGAGGGCGCCATGTACATTTTTGCTAAATGTAAAATACGTTGGTCTGGATGCTAAACGTTTCAATGCATGTTTTGGACGACAAATTCACTAGAGGGTGCTGTCTACATTTTTGCAAAACATAAAATACATAGCTCTAGGTGCAAAGCTTGCCACTAGAGGGCGCAGTGTAAACGTTTGTTAAATGTAAAATACGTTGGTCTAGATACTGTACATTTCATTGCATGCTTTAAATGACAAATCCAGTGGAGGGGGCTGTCTACATTCTTGCAAAACATAAAATACATAGCTCTAGGTATCGTTGCACTTTTAGAGGACAAATCCACTAGAGGGCGCTGTTTATATTATTGCTAAATGTAAAATACATTGCTCCGGGTATGTATTATTGCACATTTCAGATGAAAAATCCACTAGAGGGCGCTGTTCATATTTTAGTGAAACATAAAATATGTTGGTTTGTTTACATATTGTTGCATGTTTCAGATAACAAATCCACTAGAGGGCGCTGTCTATATTTTTGCTAAATGTAAAACTGTTGCTCCAGACCCACTGAAAACACACACCAGCAGATTTATTATTAGACTAGATTCCTTATTAAATGTATTAACAGTAGAGTAAGTTTCCCCTGATGAAGTCATGCTGATCGATTACACTTTAGTAGGTGTTTTGAGTGCGATTTATAACTCAAGCCCACTTAAAAACCATTTATCCACTTAGTTGATAAAATAAACCAGACATTCAGAAATGATGTCACTAGCATGAGTTTATTTAGCCCAGGCTCAAAGGAAATATGTGCCTTAGACTGCATGTTTGTGAAATGTAAAATACTTTGCTAAGGGTACGTTTCTTTACACCTTTCAGATGACAAATCCACTAGAGGGCGCTGACTACATTTTTACAAAACATAAAATACTACGCTCTGTGTATTGCTGTGTAAATTTTTGCAAATTGTAAAATACGTTACTCCGAAAACATTTCACTGCATGTCTATGATGATAATTCCACTAGAGGGCACCGTCTACATTTTTATGAAATGTAAAATACCTAGCTCTGGGTATCGTTGCACTTCTAGAGGACAAATCCACTAGAGGGCGCTGTCTATATTTTTGCTGAATGTAAAATACGTTGTTCCGGGTATGTTTCATTGCATGTCTTAGATGATAATTCCACTAGAGGGCGCCATTTATTTTTATGCGAAACGTAAAATACATAGCTCTGGGTATCGCTGCACTTCTAGAAGACAGGTCCACTAGAGGGCGCTGGGTGCATATCTGCTAAATGTAAAATATTTTGTTTAGGGTACTTTTATTTGCACATTGCACATCAACCTGTTTCATTTGCACATTTGCAGTCATAAACCAGCCATTATTTCAAAATGCAGAATAAATAAACGTTCAATTGTATTGTTTGTTAGTAAAGGACGATATTTAGCCAAGAAAATCTGGAATCTGAGAGTTAAAAAAAAAACCTTTAGAGTTGTCCAAATAAAGCTCTCACAATGCACACTACTAATCAATAAATGAGCTTGACATATTATTAATAGGAAATGTATGAATATAACATGAGCTTAACTTAATACTCTAATAATTTTTGGCATAAAATAAAAATCAATAACTTTAAGACGATGCAACATTTCGTGCTCCAGGGTCACATTTAGTCATTTTTTTGGAGGAGAAACTCTTAAAATAACAGTGGTGGAAACAAACATTTCCATAAAAGACTACAAAATGGCTGCTTTTGTAAACATATGAACGCATAACACTGAAATCCGCTTGTGTTGTTGGCAGTATGTGTCCTCTTTGTGAACCCTCGGCTGCAGATGGAGGAGCTTCTTCATAAACACAACACAGCCATTTGTTTTTAATTACAGCCAATTAATGCCATGATCAAAACACTCATTATCACTGCTGTTTACTGACACTGATATAACACACACTCCATTCTTGGCCATTTAGGAGGAGATCTGTTAGTCTGCAAATCTCTGGCTTGCTGGGAAACTACAGTCAGGGTTGGGGAAGTTACTTTAAAAATGTCATTAATTACTAATTATATCAATCAAATTGTATATGAATTATGTTTTTAATGACTTTGTCTGAAAAGTAACTTAATTACTCAATAAGTAATTTAATTACTTCTAAAAGCCTTATAAATGTCAACAGTCAACAGAAAGTTACAACACAGGCTCATTCTGAAAATGTACTCCTGTACACATTTCTGGAGAGCACCAAATACATCCCAGGAGTTTTTTTTTTTGCAGTTTTTGTTTTCATGAATCCACCAGGGGGCGCTGTGTATGCTTTTTCAGATCTCAAATTTCTCTCGAGTGTCATTCGTGCCTGCTGTTGTCATGTAAATACACCAGAGGCCGCTGTCAACTGACTGATCAATCCACCGACCCACTCTCTTCCTTCCATAAACCCAACCGACAGTGTTTTTAAAAGCACTGATTTATGTGCCAACCCCCTTTTCTAAACCCAACCGACAGTGTTTACAAAAGCACAGATTGACCCGCCCACCCCTTCCCTAAACCCAACCGATAGTGTTTTCAAAAGCACAGATTCACCCGTCCACCCTCTTCCCTAAACCCAGCCGATAGTGTTTTCAAAAGCACAGATTGACCCGCCCACCCCCTTTCCTAAACCCAACCGAGTGTTTTCAAAAGCACAGACTGACCCGCCCACCCCCTTCCCTAAACCCAAGCGAGTGTTTTCAAAAGCACCGATTGACCCGCCCTTGCCAGAATTGAACCCCATCGTTGCAGTCAACTTCGCTCCATGCCCCAAGTCTGCCGACGTATGCGGTGAGCAACCGGACAAACTACTTACAGCGAAAAAGCCGTCCATATGGAGGTAAGCAGTGAGCTAAGCATGAAGAGGAACAGCGTCATACTGCCAGTAGCAGCCATACATACCTCTGGCTACATAATTCGAGATCTCCAGAAATGTATACGGGGGTACGTTTTCAGCAAAGTATTTAAGGAATGAACATTATAAGTAACTGTTATTAAATGACCAAAAAATAACCTCTTACTGTACCTTTTACTTGGAAAAGTAATTTAATAACAGTAACAAGCTTTGTATCTAGTTACACCGTACAGTAAACAGTAAACAACGCACTAATCATGACCCAGAGTATATCAGTTCAAGCACAACTCATAGTTTTTGCTGTAAGAATTGAGTTTTATATCTAAATGCAGAACAGACACAAGCGTATCAGTCCATCCTTAAAGGTCACTGATCTGCTTTCTCTTGCCCTCCGGTCTTTCTTTCTGCTTCTGGATGTTCATCTGATGCAGCACTTTTATTATCTGGCAAGCTCAAATCTGATTGGCTGACAGTAAAAGCGCACACAGGGGGAGTTTTGTCAGTCTGCAGTGGAAGAAATACTCCACAGTACAGTTAGTTGGCGCACACTTTAATGTTGGTTTGAGAAACACTTGTCTGAGTGTCTGAAACAGCTAAGAAAACAAGACGTTTCAACTTTAAGTGGAAGTTCACGGTACTTTACTATGGATGATGCCAGAGTTGGGCAAATAGTCCTCGCTGCAGCCTGTAGTGCAGTTTTGTCATATATATAAACTACATCTGTGTCTGAAATATACAGGGGCCACCACAGCGGAATGAACTGACAACTTATCCAGCATATGTTTTACGCAGGCGAGGCAGTGTCAGAGTAGGTAGTGCTGTCGCCTCACAGCAAGAAGGTCACTGGGTGGCTGGTTCGAACCTCAGCTCAG